AGCCTTATGAAGGGATTTTAAAAGGCAGTGTTAGGCAAAATTTCCTAACATAAGGCCACATTGCCTCCTGGGTCATTTCTCACGAGAAAATTGTTTAACCTCTTGGGGAAGGTTCTTCGTTTTCTTCCACGTGAAGAAGCAGTAGCTGCCTTTTTTCCCTTTATTATCCTTCCACCTCAAAAATTCTATACTCCCTACCAACAATAGCAGAATGTAGGAAGAACAGGGTTTTTTGGGTCGCATTTAAATCCTAGTTCTAATATTTGCTAAGGACTCTGGGCAAGTTAATTTCTTCATGGAGCCTGTTTCCTCCTGAAAAGTTGTTACAAATACTACCTCTATCTTGAAAGGTTTTAAGGATTAAAACTGATATATGTAAATCCCCACACATACTCGATCTAGGAGTTTGTAGCACCAAAGTAAGAGGTTTGTACTTCTCCTTTCTCTGATGAATGCCACCTTCTAATTTCTTCATCCTTAATCTTGAATTTTAGTTATTCTGACTCTGGGTCTTGCAGAAAAAGACTATTTCTAATAAATAAAATGGTTCATTTTCACAGAATTCCATGACAGGTTATACTTTGTAAGAAGTCAATTTTGATGTCCTATAGATTTTTTTAAATAAAGACTTTATAAGATTGATGTATCAGCGGTTTTAGTGATTACCTGGTCTTTCTAAAAAAAAGACTAACCTGAGCTTGAATCTGTTAAACACTAGTAGTAACCACTGCATAATGCCCTAGTTAATATTAAGTGCTGGCCTTGCCAAGAAAAAAAAACTTGGCCCGTGTAACTAGATCTAATAGGAAACTGGTTTTCTTGTGGAATACATCTGATTCTTCCAAATATTAAGTGTGGTTCAAAATACATGTACTGGCTGACAACCTCACTTCTTGGTTCTGTTTTACCTTTCTATACTGTCATAAATTACTAGGGGAAATGGCTTAGATGAAGCTCTTTTAAAGTACTGCCAACTACTTATAATTTTGAAATTTTTTTCCATTTCCTCAAGCTCTTATTAGTTCTTTGTTATGGAGGAATGCTTGAAGTCTTTATTGGTAGGGCAGTAACTGGGCTATTTATCTCAGATTTTCACATCAGGGCAAAAAAACAGCATTGTAGAGACATAAAAGCCATAAGATAGCTCTAAAATGCGTATTAAAAATACAAATTTAAGAAGCTAGTTGCTCCTAAACTAGCAGCTTTATCACACTCTGGAAGCTATGTCAACTAAACCTGACCGTGCTTTTGGAGGGAAAAACCTGGTAAAAGAACCAAAGGGATACTTACTCCTTCCTGCATACTTCTGAGCAATGAACAATTGGACAATTACCATCTATTAAAAACTACCCTAGCTGCAGGTCTCAGGCTTCAACTCTAGTTTTCCCAGGATATAGAGTCAAGTGTCTTCCAAGGCTGAAGTGCATTTCTGACCAGAGAAGGTCAGAAATGCACTGCATCTTGCTAAAGTGAGTACAGGGCTTGAAAGGGGAAAACACAAAAGCACATCAGTTTTCACCAAGAAAGGCAAAATCATGAACCAGCAAAATAATAAACATGACTTTGGGCCTCAAGTTGAGAAAGTAGCTCTTCAAACAAAAAACAACCTTTTCTCTTAATGCATGTAACTGTGGCTCCTTTAGCTGTGATCTTAAGAAAGTAACCAGGAAAACAAATTACAATTTTAATAATTTCAGTAACTTAAACCTGTACTGGTTTCATAAAAGTGAATTGGTGAAGTGCCTGGTGTAGTAAGTAAAATGTCCGTTTTTATTTCCTGGGAACTGAAAGATGACTCTATCCAAAATTTGGTATTTTTAGCTAGTCCAGCTGTCAACTACCACAAACCCAATAGTATTCTCAGATCTGCTTTACCCCACTCAAGGCCACAAAAGAACCACCTTTATATATACTTAAGCTGAAAGGCAAAAAAGGCAATCAAAGAACCTCACAGAACTCTTAACACCTTCATCTTAAATTTTACTTTCTGTTGGCTGGGCCAAGACAAATTCTCAGAATGCCAATATTAGTCTCTGCACATTTTAAGGTATTTAAAAACATATCTATACATAAAAAATCATAGTATAAGGGGATTCAGTTACTTGTATTGTTTGTTTAAACTATGGTATTACCTGTTCTATTGCCTGCTATGTTCTTCCTCTCCACTGTAGTAAAAATTCAGTTTAACTTGCAGCTCTAAAACCCTAGATATAAAGAATGTTTACATTTACTGTTGAACAGGTAAATTACCATTTATACTAACCGGTTGCTTCATAGTATAATACAAATAATACAATTCAGCAGATTTTTTTTTTTTTAAAGATTTTATTTATTTATTTATTGGAGAGCGAGCGAGAGAGAAACAGCATGAGAGAGGAGAGGGTCAGAGGGAGAGGCAGGCTCCCCGCTGAGCTGGGAGCCCAATGTGGGACTCGATCCCAGGACCCCGGGATCATGACCTGAGCCGAAGGCAGTCGCTTAACCAACTGAGCCACCCAGGCGCCCCAGCAGATATTTATTGAACGCTAAAGATTTTAACAAATATAAAACCTTACTGGTTTTAAGATTTTTTTTTTCTTCCTTCATCTTTCAGTCAATGTCCAAGTTGAGGCAAAAAGTCAAACCAAAACTCCAAAAATATTTTTTGGCTAAATTTGCACAAGTGACATTTTTCACCTTTTATAATTACAACTACAGACACAATTTATAAAACTATGATTTTCATTTGTTACCAGATGGTTTTCTCTTGCTATTTTTTTCTTAACATTTGAGAGAGAGCACATGCACGGGAGTGGGGGGAAGAGGGGAAGGGCAGAAGGAAAGGGAAAGAGAATCTCAAGCAGACTCGAGCTGAGTGTGGAGCCCCACACAAGGCTCCATCTCACCACCCTGAGATCATGACCTGAGCCACAATCAAGAGTCGAACGCTTAACCCACTGAGCCATCCAGGCGCCTCTTCCCTTGCTATTTTAAAGGCAGATATACTCAGCATTAAAACTGCATTGTAATGGAAAACACCCACATACACATATACTGTGACAAAGCATATTAAAATAATGAGTTATGACAGATGCATTTCATTTTGGTCTGATGCTTAATCTTAATAATTGGGCTAAGGAAATTGCCCATTAGTAATTTTTCCTTCATTTCAAAAAAAGTGTTTGTTTTGTTTTTTTTTTTAAAGATTTTTATTTATTTATTTGAGAGAGAGAATGAGAAACAGAGAGCACGAGAGGGAAGAGGGTCAGAGGGAGAAGCAGACCCCTTGCTGAGCAGGGAGCCTGATGTGGGACTCGATCCCGGGACTCCAGGATCATGACCTGAACCAAAGGCAGTCGCTTAACCAACTGAGCCACCCAGGCGCCCCAAAGTGTTTTTACATTTAATGTAAAACATGGTCCTAGGCCAGGGATGCACATCAGAATCACCTGTGGTGTTTGTCAAAAACAGACATACTTTGGCCTAAATAGGTCTGGAATAGGACCCAGATCCAGAAATCCCGCTTTTAATTTTAAGCAAGCATTAGGGTAACTTTTTTATAACCTGTACTCCCTTCCCATCAGAGACATACCCTAAAATATTCTAATATAAAAATTTTAACTTCTACTGGCATGTACTTAATATATAACTTTGGTAATTTGACAGCAGTTCAGTAATACATTTATAATTAGAGGCTTCAAATTATAAGCAATGGGCATTGTTAATGTGAATTGTCATTGTTAAGGTTAGGGAAAAAAGATAGTCACCATTACCACTTGGCACAGTAAATAGCAAACACTTCTACAGTGTTTACCATGTCAGGTATTGTAAGCAATTTACACATATTAACTCACTCATCCTTACAACCTAACGAAACTGGTATTTTCATTCTACAGCTGAGAAAGCTAAGACAAGTTACACACACAGGTAAAAATGAGGGGCCAGGATTCTAAAGCAGTCTGGCTCCTGAGTCCTCGGCTCTTCCAGTATGGCCTTTCTACATGTTAATTAAAAAAGCATTTATCGTCTGTGATACTAAAATGTAATTATTTGGGGGGTATCAGGACTGTTCTTCCCTTGAAATGATCAGTAACAAAATGTCAAATTTTGAGAAGATCCATGCAACCACAGCTACTTGGGGGCTGTACATGACTCACATCATGAACTCATTCTGAGTTTCAGAGCTTCAAGACTCCCTTCTTGGCGGGGAAACTACATTAAATTTTATAACAGAGTGTTATATATATAACAAAGTCATATTTGGTTTTAGAGTATTGAACTTAGCCACCTTCACTTGTAAAATATCACTGGTTATCATGCTTCTCATGAAAGCATCACACTAGGAGATAGGTGCTCCATCCCCCTGGGGGATCCTTTTAGTTTAGTCCAGACACATGATCATTATCTTGACACTAGGACTTTTCAAAGCGCCACATCTAGGTCTTTTGACACAGGGACTCCTGATCTCATATTTTTTAATGTTTTATATAGTATGGTCACCTTTATTCCTTTTCTCTCTCCTGCAAAGCCCCTCCAGTAAAATTAATGTGCAGAAAGGAAGCCCTTGGGTCAAAGGAGATACAAGTTTCAACATTAAGAGACTTGCCTATACAAGTAACAGCTAAATTACTACTCCAACAAACATACCAAGGTAATCTCACCAAAACCCATTCTGTGTGGTCACACCATTGTACCAAATTTCTTTCCAAGTGCTTTTGAATTTAAAGGGTTCCCTTGCAACCCTTCAAAGATACCATTATTAATTCTTAAGAGATTTATTACACTGGTAACAAGAACAGTATATTTTTTAGGAGTTCTTCAGGCTAAGTAGTCCTATTCTGCTGTAATTTGTGCCTTGTATTTAAAAAAGACTTCACCTTTCATTCTGTCCTACATGTTCTACCCTGTGGCCATAAATTATAGGAAGGAAAACTGATCCTCCTGGGTTGGGAGAGAGGTGAAGGGGCAAGATAAAGAATTCTAGTTCTCGTCACTGTCCTAAGTTTCAATTTGCCAAAATATTTAAGTCATTAAAATTTTTATTTTCTCCTTTTACCAAAAATGTACAAACACCTCTATACACAGCACAAGCCCTTAAGATAAAAACAGTCTGTCCTTTAGGATCCAATTTCTTATGTCTAATGGAAGAAGTACATAAGAATTTATTGAAACCTTTATCACATACTCAATATTCTCTTCTGTGGAAATGATGAATGCAAGCAAGAAGACTGAAGCTTAATCACTCTATCAGTGCTGCCAGCTAGGACTTCACCACCCTTCTGGTAACACACCCTGGAGATTTTAAAAACACTTTATTTAATAAAAGTTAAACATACAAAAACTGAAATTAACACATACCCTAAAAATCACCATCTTCCATTAATAGGAAGACACTTTACTATGCATATATTTGGCTTAAACTCAACTCAGGATAACTGTGATGTTCACTTATACCAACAAATGCTGACAACTTGATCTAGTTAACAAAAATTACAAACTCAGCTACATGAACATAATATACAGGGAAATTATGGTCAGATTAATGCACAAGAAATACAATAAATTTTTAATGATGAAACATTCAGTACTCTTGTTCATTAATTTAGCCTTGGGGATTTTTTTGTTTTTTTACAAAAATAGTATCTACACTGTATACAGGGCTATACATCAGCTTTTTGTTTTCTTATATAAACATTACACATCCAAAAATGGTACCACTACCATAAGGGAAAAATCAACACAGGAAAAGAGCAAATGTTAAAAAAAAAAAAAAAAGGAACAACACAACAGAAAAAAACCCTTAGAAAAGGAAGCTGGTCCTAAACATGGTTCTTATACACAATTAAAACTCAATGAAAAAATTTTAAGAGCTGGATCAATTTTAGAGATAGCCTAAAAGGCTTAAGAAACAAATTATTGAAGGAAAACCCTCAAAACAAAGTTTGTCATTTTACATTAATCAAATTAACCTATTTTTAGGCTTAATTAGCAACAGCTATGGGTTTAAGTTGAAGAAAAAAAAAAAGATCTCTTTAGCAGGTTGGTATTTTGCCTTGATGTTCCAGTGAATTGCTACAATATGTGGCAAGTTCAAAGCATCTGAAAATTCCAAGTTAGGACTTTACAAAAAGTACACACCATCCATTAAGTAAGGGCCTGATATTAGGAAGATCAACAATTCATCTAGTGCTGTATTTATGCAGCATCTATCTAGAAAAGTTGCTTTATTCAACAAACTGAGGAAATCTGTGGTAGTAGTAACAAAAAGTTAAATGAATAGCAGTTATCAAATGCAATTTCTTCAAGTTTCATTCTATTGAAGTCAAACAAGGACGACAATGGTATCTTCCTTACTCATCTAACAAATAATTTACCTTTAGAAAAATATAAGGATAAAAAGGTAAATGTAAAGCCCTGCAGAGATGAAATACAACAGTTTTTCTGATTATTGAGGCATCAAATGCCTGACATTGTATTTAGAGGTATCTTGATACTGTGTCATAGGTTTATCAGCAATTCCACAAGTTCCTACTCCAACTTTTCCGGTTACACTCTCAGGTGAAGCAAAAATACTCCTTTTTACCTAGTGGAAATGAAAGAAAAACCATTCTGATTAGTTTTATGGGGAAAACATTTCCAAAATACACATAAGTACAGTACACATCAAGGGAACTGGAGCTCTCTTTTAAATAAAATCTACCAGTGGATGCCCAGCATATAAAACATGTTAACAAAGCAGGTAGGGTTCATCACACTCCAAGTGGTATGTAAGGTACCAAATGGTTTTTCAAATTTTAGTTTACAGAAGGGAAAACAATCTAGATCTTTTGTAATTTATGATATAAACTCTCATTCATAGTGTTTCTATTGCAGAGAGACAGTGGCTAATGGAGATATTTTACAATAAGCCAAATGGAAGATTAAAGAGGATTCTGAATTCAAGATCCAGTTATGTATTTTTTTAAACCTATGTACCTATGTACCTCCCTTTTGCATTTTAAGGTTATTTTAATGACAATTACACTTTTCAAATTTACGAAGTACAATGAAAGGATTTACTAACCTGGCCTTTTTTGTTTTTAGAATAGGCTCTGTTGTTGAACTGTTGCCATTTAACCTTCTGGTCCTCTCTTTCCTGCTCAAGTTCTTTTATTCTCTGGGCTTTTTTCAAAGCTTTCTTCTTTTTATATTCACGCTGTTGGGCAATCATTTCTTTTCTGTGTGGATATAACAGCTAAATGTCAACTCTTAAGATTTAATAGATGATTTCCTTAGAGATATTTAGCAGTACAAAAAAACAAAAAAAACCAAAAATATCTGTAATAAACTTACACATTACATGAATAGAAGCACTAACACCAACAATGCCAATCACCCAGTACTAAGAAATGTTATTTGAAATACACAGCATCCCTGGAAGCTTTCAAACCATATCTGTAATCTGTTACCTATTCAAATCAAATACATTTTTTTTAAGATTTTATTTTACAGAGAGCAAGTGAGTGTGTGCAAGTGGAGGCGGGGGGGAGCAGAGGGAGAAGCAAACTCTGTGCTAAGTGCACAGAGTCTGACGTGGGGCTTGATCCCAGGACCCTAAGATCATGACCTGAGCCGAAATCAAGACTCAGTTGCTCAACTGACTGAGCCACCCAGGCACTCCTCAAATCAAGTATTTAAACTATGACTTTTTGATGTTTACATTGCTTTTGCCAGGTGCATTTTAGAAATGAGTTTTAACATTAATAGCTATCTAAACCTTTATCCATTTCTTTTTTTTTTTTTTTAAGATTTTATTTATTTATTTGAGAGAGAGAGAATGAGAGACAGAGACCACGAGAGGGAAGAGGGTCAGAGGGAGAAGCAGACCCCCTGCTGAGCAGGGAGCCCGATCTGGGACTCGATCCCGGGACTCCAGGATCATGACCTGAGCTGAAGGCAGTCGCTTAACCAACTGAGCCACCCAGGTGCCCCGCCCTTTAGCCATTTCTAAACAGACAGTTAGCAAGGTTAATGTGCTGCATTTAGAAAAGAGATGCAATGCAGATAAAACTATTTCACCTAGACAGGAAGAGCACAGCAGCATACAAGGAGATCACAGCTTAAAATTCTTAAAAACAAAAGTTGGAGTCTTTCAAAAAACACTCCGCTATATAGGATCAGAGCCTAAAGCTTTCTGAATAATTTCTGCTCAGTTAACATACTGACTTTCTCACCAAAAGGATGAAGAAAGAGGTCTTTAAAAAAGAGGCAATACAATCTAGATGCCTCTGTATCATATAATCACCACTATGAAGCTAAGTGTAGCTTTTTTACACTGATGTCAAAGACTAAAAAAAAAAAACAGAGATGTTACATTGTTCTACAATCTGATTTTCTCATTGGGATACTTAGGTGATGTAATTTTTCCAAATTCAAATATATTTATGTAGCAACTTAAGTTTTAAAAACTCGTGACAAATCCGAAAAAGAGAAAATTGTGGCAAATATGTGTAAGTTAAACCAAAATATTGTTAATTCTACCTCTTAAATACCATTCAAACCATACACTTCTCCTACCGCTGCTCCCTGGGTTCAGGCCACATTATCTCACACCTGGATCACATCAGTAGCTGCCTTCCCTCTGCTGTTAGTGATTATTTGGAAGTTCAACTGTGATCACATATCTCCTCTATTTGAAATCCACCAGTGGTGGTCAAGCTCTGTGATCTGGTCTTGACCTCTCTAACCTCCTCTCTTATCAAACCACCCACCTTTAAAAATCCCAAATTTTTACCACAGGAATTTGTTTCTGTTACCTCTATGTTCCAACCTTTTCTTTTTTAGAAGTTTTTAAAAAGTTTTTAAAAACATTTACTGAACTCTTACTACATGTCAAGAACTGTGCTACACGCTTATAAATGCTAACATTTAATCCTTACAACCCTACAATGTAGATACGATCAACCGTGTTTTACAAATAAGGAAAGAAGTTAAGCAGTTTGCCCAAGATCATACCTTGAAGTTCATTCATTACCTGGCTAATTCCTTTTCAAATCTCAGTTAAAAAAATTTTTTTTAAAAGATTTATTTGAGAGAGAGAGAGAGAGAGAGAGTGCACGCACACACAAGCAGGGGAAACAGCAGAGGGAGAAGGAGAAGCAGGCTTCCCACTGAGCAGGGAGCCCGATTCGGGGCTCGATCCCAGGACCCTGAGAATCATGACCTGAGCGGAAGGCAGTCGCTTAACTGACTGAGCCACCCAGGCGCCCCCACATCACAGTTCAGATGTCATTTTCTCAAAGACATTTGCCCTGATGACTAAAGTGCAGTTTAGGTATCTTTTCTTTGTTCCTTAAAGTAGCCATTATGTTCCCTTCAAAATTTCTATACTTAACTATTAAAGTTCTCCTTTAATTTTGTGTTTTGTTCTCTAGACTATAAACTCAATCAGGACAAGGCCCAAGCTGGTTGTCTTCACTGTGGTGGAAACCCAACACCTGGCTTAGTGAGAGGTACATAGTATCCTAATAAATATACTCAATACCTAAGTGGGCCTAGGCATACACACACAGACAAGGTTGACCCTATACTGCTAATCTTCAAAATAATGGTAGAGAGTATTATAACCTTTTTACCTTAATCTAGCCTGCATGGATGCTGTGGACTACCTCAACTACCGAAATGGGGAAGATTACACTTAAACTACTAAAGTCAAAGTCACTTACTTTGACATGGGTTTGTTGCCACTGTCCTCCTTTGCCTTCCTTCCTTCTTCTACAGGCTTGAGGTTCAACAGTGGGGTCACTTCAGCATTGCCGTAGCCAGCAAAGGTGATTGCAGCAGTGCCATTTTCTTCATCTATCTCCTCGATCTCCGCTTCATAACACCTGTAAAGATATCATGACTGTAAGCAGGTGAGTAAAGGTTTAGTACTCCGCCTATAAGACTTACACTGCAGTGCTTCAACTATTACATGTGTCTCAAATGGAACTTCTGTCATCAGTTGGCTCTTTAGTAAAGGTAATACAAAAGAGCGGTTGGAGTTAGCCATCTACTATCAAAAAAGGGGTCCTAATCAAAATATTGTCAGGAAAGTCTCTTATATGTCTATTACATGTGCTTTAGTCAGTATCTTTGAGAAAA